CTCACATCCCCACCCCCCCACACACCCATATCCCCCTATATTCCTTCCCACCCTGCTCTTGCAAATCTCATATCCCCTAATTATACATGACCAGCTGCCAGACAGGATGAGACCTGCTGGCAGCAGCTGTAGCTACAGGGGCAGCTGTCCCCACATCCTAGTTAGTGAAAGGGTTTGGGAGGGAGCTCTAATTGTTCTATGATAAGAAAACCAAAAGCAAACATCAAAACATATAGATATTTATAATTTATTTTATTATGATGATAGAGACACTGGTAGGATTCCAAACTGCTTTAAATTGTAAACATATACATAAAACTTTGTCCAACTAATCAATCTCTCACTCTCTGTAGATAGATAGATAGATAGATAGATAGATAGATAGATAGATAGATAGCGGACTTTTGTTTTAATTGTGGAGGAACACAGATTTTGGGGTATTTTAAAGAGTGAATATGGGATTTTTTTAATCAGAGAATTTGCCGTTTTTAGATAGGGAACATCAGGAGTCCTCCTAGTGAGGCAAGTGGCAGGACCCAGGCAGAGGAGCCTGTTCAGGGCTAGCACCCAGGACCTAGCTGGAGGTGGCTGACCTCCTGGCTACTTGGGGCCTGCTTTGATAGTTCAAAGCAGGCCACCATGCTAAGAACATCTTCCAGGCAACAGCTGCCCAGATGGCAGGGTGGCGGCACACATGGCAGCAATGCCACACGAAGGCCAACTGTGCAGCCACAGCTCCCTGGCAGCTGGCCCAGAGGTGCAGATGCCTCTGCTACAGGCATTCAGTCCCCATCCAGGCCTGGCAGATGTGTAGGCTTGGGGCGGCATGCTGTTGCAGGTGGCAGTAGGTCATAGCCAGGCAGGAGCCCCCACTGCCAGACTGCTGCAGTGGGTAGAGGGTGCAGAGGCCACTCTAGGTTAGGGGTACTGCAGCAGTCCAGCTGGCACAAGGGGCTAGTGTCCCCAGATACCAATTGGCCAGGCCCCATAAGTTCCAGAAAGCAAGTAGCCCTGAGCTGCTTGCCATGACAGGTTTTTATACTGCTGGGGCCAGCACAGGTGCTGGCTCCAGGCTCCATTTCCCCTTGGCTGCAAATACAGAAGGGGCTGGGCAGGATCATTTTGTCCCAAGTGGCACAGCTTGTCCCACACCAAAGTGCATGTCCAGGCATGTGCACTGAGACAAAAATGCCTAGCATAAATTTGTACTGCTCTTACTTCAGCTGTTGCAAGGGCACATGCCTGCATGTGTGGATGCACCCAATGGGTGCATTTACATGTGATACTAACAGTGCAGTTGCCTAGTAATACTGCACAGTAGCATGTCACAGCACAAACAGTGCTAATATGCTACTGAGCAGTATTATTAGGCTACTGCACAGTAGCATCCCTTAAAAGGTGTTTGCCACTGCTACTGAACTGTAACTCAGGTTACTGTGCATTCATTTAGTACTTAATTATACAAGTACTAAATTAAATGCACAGTAACCACTGCACATTAATGAATGTGTAAATGTGCCTAATAAGATCTAAATCCAGCAACGCTAGAAATGTTTTACTTAGTCTGATGTTAAAAAATAAGTTTAGCAAACACTTTAATCCCCACTGGAAGTAAAACTGTACTAAAAAAATCCCAACATAAAGCCCAATTAGAATGTGAATTTTTTTAAAAAAGCTTTCACTAGTTACAAATGAAACAGTAATGAAGCAGTGTTAAAATGCCGAGCTTGTAGGGATAAATATTTCCTGAAGCGCCCAATGTTGTCAAAGAGAAAAAAGAAAATAGGAAACATTTCTTTTCATCTGAGTTCTTTGTTTTTAAATTATTGTAGACAAATTATGGAAAGTCTTCTTCCCCCATCCCCCCACAGTTAAGCAAATCCAGAGAAATATTTTTTCTTATCTTCATTTCACAATGTTACTGCAAGTAGTCTAGAAATAAACAGCAAAATATGCATTATCACTATACACTGTGCAGCTTGAAAGACCATATTCTGATATCAATTATGGTGCTCTAAATGGGAGCAAATCCATTGGGTGCTGAGGTGAACACAATTACTTCTAGTTTACATCAGGGCAAATGAGACTATATAGTAACATCTATCATATTTCATATTGCTTTATGCTCTATGTATCTCCGTGGCTTCAATTTGATGGCTACAATGCATATAAATAGACTGTACTTTAAGCCATCCCACAAGTATAACCACCTTGTAATAATAGTATCATAGTTCTGGGGGGAGCTGTATCTTTGACCTCTCACTCACTCTGTAAGCATTTTTTCCAACAACGGATATGTACTTCTCTCAGAATGGAATCTTCCAATTTACCCATCCCTTTGGTTCCAAGGGCACAGAACCATGTTCCATCAAAGAAATATATCCTCACTACAATTGTAAGATTTGGCCCTTTCCCTAGGAAAGTTCACATAACGAATAGCATCTTCAAAACTACTATTTATCCTTAGGAACACAACAGAGAGAAATATGGTTTAAATAATTAAAGGCTCATATATATTACTACTTGGCTGAAAAATCAGATTTCTCATGCAAGTAACCAGTAGGTTGCCTTGTCCTAGGGCCACTTTTCCACCACTGACACTGTGTAAAGCAGACAGACAGTTTATCACCTCTGTTTCTTAGGGACTTGTTACACATTAATTTTAGGTGGCTTCTGGAGCTCTTAACTCCTGGATTGTCCACACATTTACACCTAAAACTACTTTTAAGTACACTTTAGGCAGCTTAAAGTTACACCACTCCAGGGCAAGTTTATCTCTAATTCACATTATCCAGATTGTGTTCCATTAATATGTGACCATTCCCCACAGATGAGCTGTCCAAGTTGCAGTTCTTCAGCATCCCAGGATTCATTGTCCCCTCCCCTCCTGTTCTGTGTTGATAAACCTTCCAGCTCACGAAGTCTACTGCTCAGGGGACAGTTTTAGCACCAAACCAACTCCTCCTCCTTCCTCAGGGGTGCAATCCCATGCAAACAACCTGCAGAGCACATGCCAGCTCGCCAGGTTGCGGGGCATGGATGAGTCTCAGAGTGGGGTCTATTGGGGTGAGGGCAAGGTAGGAAGGCAAGTCATGTCCCCATATGGTGGGCTTGCTTCCTGGAGCAGGGGCAGTAGCTTCCCCAAAAGCATGTTCCCTCACCACTCTCAGCTCCCAGCCACACTAGGAGGAATGACCAACACCTTCCACATCCCAATTCAAATCCCAGTCCCAATATATTAAAACATGAGACTTATCTAAGTTACTTCCTTTTTATTTCTTTTTTTTTAAATTTGTTTTTACTTTTTATTTTATCCTTCAGTGGCTGACTTCCTTCATTTCACCACCCATCCCAAATCTCATTTCCTTTTCAGCTCCCATTTCATTACCCATTCATATCCTATTAACTCTCTGCCTCCCAATGTGATGGTTTGGTTGGGACATAGGCAGCCATACCTATAGATAGACCCTGGGGGACAACTAGGAGGTTATCAGGGTTGGGGCACAGATTGCCAGAGCTAGGAAAGGAGATCCAGGAGATGTAGTCTGAGATTTTTCCCAGTTTTGTTTTACTGATAGAAAAATGTACACAAACCTGCATGTACAGACATTTGAGTACTGAGGCCCTGAAGTGTTGACAGCTTGTAGTTCTAACACTGTGAAGCTGGGGGGTGGGGAGTGGGGAGAGGAAGGGGACCCTGTGCACACATCTCAGCATGCTCTGTAGGCTCTTTTAGTCTACCTGGTGACAGATGGCTGCAGTGTGTAGGTCAGCTCTGATTGATTTACAAAAGATTTGGAAAGAGAGATTTAACTCTGGTTGTTCCCAGGTTATTTATTCTCCTAGAGCAGTCATTTTGATTCTGGGAGAAAAAGCCTGAACCTCTGCACACATGTGGTTATTTCTTGGAAAACGGTAACTTTCATAAGAAAAACTGAATGCCTGTACAAGGTCTTAGAATGACATTTAAGTCATCAGTGTCCCCCACACAGGATTCTGTATTTCCTTCCTTTGCCATGATATATCTTATACATCTGTAGTGAATCAGTGGCACTACAGTGGATTCATTGCATTGTCTATTTAACACTGGCAATTGGATAAGAATATATGGACATAAGAGGTGTTATACTGGGTCAGATCAACGGTCCATTTAGCCCAGTATTCTCTCTCTAACAGTGGTAGAAGTGGATGCTATATACAGACAGCATTGAACTAGGTACGTCTAGAGTGATCTATTCCCTATTCAATGGCCTTCCTGGCATCCACCATGTATTGGTTTGGAGATGCCAGATGAAACATCTCCAAACATTCTGTTCAGCAGCTATTAATAGAGCTATCATCCATGAATGTATCCAGTCCCTTTTTGAATTTGGCTATGCATTCTGCCTCTTCCACCCCATGTGGCAATGAATTCTAAAAGTTAGCTATGCATTGTGTAAAAACTACTGTATTTTGTTAGTTTTAAACCCATCACCTACTAATTTTAGCAGGTGCCTCCTAGTTCTAATATTCAGGGACCTGGTGAACAATGATTCCCTGTTTACTTGGATCACACCCTTCATGATTTTCTAGACCTCTATCATATCTCCCCCGCAGCCTTCTCCTTTCCAAACTGAAGAGTCCTAGCCTTTTCAGTTTTTTCCTGCTATAGCAACTACTCCATTCCCTTTATCATGTTCCTTGATCTTCTCTATAGCTTTTCTAATTCTACTACATCCTTTTTGAAATGTGGAGACCAGAACTGCACACAGTATTCAAGATGTGGACATACTATAGATTTGTATAGCGGCATGACAGTGTTCTCTATTTTGTTTTCAATACCTTCTTAATGATGCCCAACATTTTACTGGCTTTTTTTGGTCACTGCTTCACACTAAGCTGACATTAAAATTATATATATCTACCTACCTACAGTGACTTCAGGGTCTCTTTATTGAGTCTTAACAGCTAGTTCAGAACCCAGCATTATGGTTGTATAGTTGAGATTATTTTTTCCCCAGGTGCATTACTTAGCACTTGTTGACACTGAAGTTCATCTCCCATTTTTATTGCCCAGTCACTTAGGTTGGTGCAATCTTTCTGCAGCTCCTCTCCATCAGGTTGGAACTTGACTACCCAGAATAATTTGGTATCTGCAAACTTGGAGTTTTCACAGTGCACACCCCATTTCCAGGTCATTGATGAAAATGTTGAACCAAATAGAGCCCAGCCCACTTTTGACCTCCCTGTATCCTAAAAAGTGACCATTTATGCCTACCCTTTGCTTCCTATCTTTTTAACCACCTCTCAATCCAAAAAGAACCTCCTTTCTAATCTTGTGGCAACACAGTTTTCTTAAAATTATCTGGTAAGAAACCTCATCAAAAGTCCATACATATTATGTCAACTGAATTTCCCTTGTCTATCTGTTTTTTTGTAATTGTTGTGTTCTTAGGCATCAGGTGGCATAAACCCTTACAATTTCATTGAGTTAGCTACCCCACAGTACCCAAACAGAGACTCAGATGCAGATATCTTCCACAATCTTCAAAGATTCATGTATTTAGAATGTATTAATGTTATATAATAATAATAATAATAATAATAATAATAGTGATTATATTTGCCCTATGCTTGTTTTATGTTTTCTTTGGATCATGGAAAAATTGTAATCTCCCTTACTGATTTCGAAGAGATTTCTTCATACAAAGAATTCAAGGCCTGGGTCCATGATGAGCGTGTGAATTTAAAAATGTACTGTTCAAATTCATGCTTGAAGTTACTATTTCAATTTTCAGGGTATTATCTCTTGTAAGTATAGGAATAATTCAGCAACATTTGCTTAAATGTGAACCTGCTAAGTTTCTCAGGGCAGCCATCACATTGTGTTCTGAATAAAGAATTACAGTTTGCAAAGCTGTCAGTCATATCTGTTCCATTTTAAACTACATTTAATTTTCAGCTGTATTAAGGTAAAAGCTGGGATCATGCATCCCTTTATATCCTGTTAAGAATGTAGTTTTGAAATGGACACCCCAGTTTTGAACGAAGTAAGCCAGTATCTGAAGGGGGAAGGATGACTAAAAACAAACAAACAAACAAACAAAAAACATATTAAAAAATGCTATATATTTGCAAAAGCAGGTTTTTTCACATCAGCAATGTGCAAGCTGTCCTTACAGGCAGAGCTTGCTGATAACTGTAGCTGCACAAGATCATCCCTACAATTCTTATTGACATTTCTCAAAATGCAAAGCCAGGAAGTAGAAACAAGTGGACCACATGCCTAGCTAGTATAATTGATGTCAGTTTGTGGAAGTCAGTGGAACTGAACCAGTTTACACCAGTTGAGGGGGTTCTGGCTCCATATATTTCCTTTTTCACTCCCCTGTAATTTTTGGGGTTTTGTTCTGTGAGGGGGAGGGGGTAATGAAATTTTGAAAGAAGTATTGATATATTATGTGGTAAGGCAAACTAGTATCAAACAACGTAAACCACATTCCCTTAACTGCTCTGAACCCTCACCGGGCAAAAAAAATACCTGCTCCATTTCCTTAACTCATGTTATAAGTCCCTTTGTAGCCATTTTGCCATCAAACACTCTGTTCATCTTACAACCATAAAATCTATAAAAATCACAGTCCTATAAATCTAGGCAGATTGATGTTGGTGCAGGCTAAAGTAATGCTAGGCAGTTTTACCACCTGTAAGTCTTTCCAAAGGCATTCAAAGTCTCTGGTTCTTTTCATTTTTCTTGTCAGTGTTTGTTTTGGCAATTGTGGCCCTAAGGCAGCAGAGAAAGAAGTCGCTATTTTCTGAGAAGGCAGAAGAGTTCAGAGAGAATATTGTCAGGTATGATGATGAAGGAGGTGGCGAGGAGGACACAGAGGCTTTTGATATTGCAGCATTGAGGACCCGTACTGTCATGAGAGAGCACAAGCCTCGAAGAAACATCACAACAGAAATCCAGAGCCTTTACAGACAGTCTCTGCAAGTTGGACCTGACAGTGCTGTGTTCCGGGAATTCATTTCAGAAAAGCTTAAGGAAGCCAATGCAGATCCTAATGCTCCTCCATATGATTCCCTTCAGACGTATGCATTTGAGGGGACTGGTTCTTTGGCTGGATCCCTTAGCAGTTTAGGATCACATGTGTCAGACATGGGTGAGAGTTATGATCACCTTAGTGAATGGGGGCCACGTTTTAAACGACTTGCCAAGCTATATGGCCCCCACAAAACTGCAAGGGATTAGTAACTGCTAGTGGCCACGTTTTTTTAAGAGCTCATCAACCAAAATCGAGTTTGGATTTTCAGAGGAGATCAACACATTTAAGCACCCACTTACAATGCCCAGATTTATTAAAAGATAGAACAATGTTGGATGGTTGAGATCTTTTATATCGTAATATAAAGCGTCATAATAAGAAGCGATGAATCTAGCCCCACGTTAGGTGCTTACATTGCCAGCTATGCTCTTTAAAAATCCAGTCCCAATTATGGCTGCTGAAAATTTGGCTTCAAAAACAGATGAAAGAAAAGCCATAAGATTTTTGTAAATAATCTTCTTGGTTTAAGCTTTAAACTATTTCCAAAGTTAAAGCAGACTTTTTTTTGTTGGTTTATATTAATTAACCAAAGGTAAATCGTACATATTTGCATTGTTTTATAAATACCATTATGCAAAAAGATAGAGAATAGACATTTTAAAATGCTTGTCTGCCACAAAAACTTACAGAATCTTCTATTTATTTATTTTTAGTGTAATAACACTACTACAAATGTACTATTTAGCACTGTAAAAAATAAAGATCTGTTATAGTCAACATTTAGTTACTATTACATTTGCACTTTTATTAAACCATTGGGAAGTGTATAGGACTCATAATTTCCCAGGTGATGTATGAAGAAATTATAAAGGGCAAAAAGGATTAGATTCTACTTTGAAGCAATATTCAACTTAAAAACTGTTATCAGCTATGTTACATATTACTGTACATAGAACCAAATACAACCCATGTCTGGGCATCTTCTCTTTTTTTAAGAGCTTAAATGATGACTGATTTCTCTGCACAGATTTATTTATTTTTATTATGGAATATAAAATTAGCTGCAGTACTCATTTTTATTGTAACAGTATTAAAGATCTTTAAAATGCTAAGCTGGTGGACATAAAACTTTATGCATAACATTAGATAATAAGATAGTAAAACACTTTAATGTTAATCCAGCTCTTCAGTAAATGATCCCACATCATTCTGCAGGAATTGAGTCAGACTTCAAAATTAATTTCTCACTATATTTTTTAACATAGTGTGTAGCTAGTAGTAAATTCACGTAGACCTATTCTCTTTCACTTAGCTATGTGGTTGATCAGCAGAAATGCAGCATCTAAGAACCATCAAGTACATTCAAATTGCTTGCTTAAAAAATGGGGGCCTGCCTGTTACTTATTCACCCTTTTTCCGTTAGGTGCTTATTTTACAGCATCTGCATCATGTAATGAACTGAAACATTTCAACAGCTGAAAGCTGGCATCAGGATAAAGAACATAGTGCAATTAACTATTTTTAAGTTCACAGGTAAGCTTCACTAAATTATAACAAGTTAGGCAAAGCTTATACAAAAGATGAAGAGGCATGAAGTCATAGCAAGCATTGCAGAGCATGTACAATTACTTGTTTATTAAAGAAAAAAGCAAGGGCTGAGGCTAAATAGAAAGGTGCCAATACCAGAGATGCTGTAAATACCTGACAGCTAAATATAAAACAAATGAAGGAGCTTGAGAAGACAATTCCAAAGGGAAGTGTGTCCAGGGAAGAGAGATTATATACTCATGACATCCATTCTTGGAACTATATCAGTGCGCATGTGACTAACAGCAGATGAGACAGCACATGTGTAATAGGGAAAAGCTGGCTGTTGCAGGTTGGAGGCTGAGTTCCTCCTATGGGTGAATGCCTATGGAGCAACTTTAAAAGATGCACAACAGTGATGGTTTGCAGTAATGTCTCTAATGTTTGAATTCATTGGCACTCCAGCAGATGGGACAAAATTATTTCTAGTTGAGATAATACTGAGCATAGTATACAATTAGCTCCTTGGAAAGGAATAGAACAGAAGAGCACAAGTGAGCACACATGTGCTTGCTTGGGTGCAGAGGGAAGCAGATAGTTTAAGACCAGATTCTGAAACCCTGGGTTAATACCTCATTCCAAAAAATGGTCCCCTTGACTTAATAGACTTTACCTTGAATTCAGATTGTATTCACTACAAAGGAGGATATTAGCCTCTCAGCTTTAACATGGTCCATAGGAAAGGAATCCTATTTTGTTTAGTAGGTAAATATAAGAATCCATTCTTTGCCTCATATTACAGTTGAATCTGCTTACAGTGATGTTCCTATATTTCATTTAATTCTGTTCATACAATAATTATTCTACAATAATGAAGAACATCTTACATTCAAAACCTTGTCTAACTCTATTCCAGCTATGCAGTTGGTCCAATAAAATATACCACCATAAGAAATCCTTGCCTCGATCTTTGTTTAATTAATATATCAGTGTGCTATTTCTCCTACTACCTGCTATACAGGAACAACTACTAGATAAAGACATTTCCCCTTTAGTGCAAGTAATAGTATTAATGCAACTGAGATTAAATCCCAAATTAAGCCGGGATCATTGCATGGTGCGAGTTTCACCAGGTTTCTGATCATCAATGGCAAATTAATGGCCTGATGCAATATAGTATAGCCAAGCTAAGCATAGTCTGTTAAACAATGACCAAAGAGTGATATTACAGAAGTCTGCACTTTTAAAGTGTAAATACCAAGGAGAGACAGGAGTTTAACAGATGAAAGAGCTATAACAAGGATTAATGGGATAGAATTAATAAAGGAAAATTTAGGTTGAATGTCAGCAATGATTTCATGATGGTGAGATCTATTAAACTATAGAATAGCCCTCTCAAGGGAAGCCACTATTACATGGGGTGTTTAAAATTATATTGGACAATTCACTTGAAGAAGCACTGTAGTGAACAATCCTACAATGACGGGGGGGGTCTCAATCTGGGGTTCATGACTCCATGGGGATGCTACATGAAAGAGATCAGTTGAAAGTACACTCCTTCCTTTTTATTGATTTTGAGGGGCAGAAGGTCTTTTGCCATCTCTATTTTTTGATATTCTAGGGAGATAATAAATACATTTACATTTAGACCCTAAGGAAATGAAGACTGTTCATTACTCCACTGTAAATTTTGTATAATACCACAGGCTGAAGTAGAAACTATAACCACATGTCATTTGTGAGTCAGTGTTTTGACTGGGGGGGGGAAATAAAAAGATAAATATATACCCAAAAAATTTGGGGAGGGGAGAGCTTTATTTTTTTTTGTGTGCATTTTAAATTACAGTGCTGCTTCAGGACACTGAGAAACTATTCATTGGTTGCTTTTTTTGTTGTATTTACATCTTTTCCCATAAATGATCATTTAACTATTAACTTTGCTTTCTTAATTTGCATTGGAAGTACAGTTGTTTTAACATTCATTCTTAAATGTGGAAGGTAACCATGTCAAATAAGAAAAAAAATTCCTAAAATCAATATAATTACTCTTACCAGTTCATTTTTAAATGTGTATTTCCTCTGAAACCTCCACTCCAGAAGTCTAAGCTAAACAAGGTGTTGTATCAAACAACACAAACTCTGAGAATCAAGCATAGGACTGTGGGACAGGCCAGCAAAGTGATTTATACAGAAAAAAATAGTGTATATTTTAATTTAAATTAGCTCAGACTGCTACTCATAACTCATTTTCCTTGTATTTACATATCAAAAGAGACATCTTCGTAACTGGTGTACATTTTCTCCTTAGTTCAATGGCACTTAAATGGTGCAGGTGGAAAGATGTAGAAAGATAAATTCTACCCATGAAGAAATTTCACACACACACACAGAGGAAAAGTAAATATGACAATGATCAGAACTGAGTATTAAGTGGAAATCTACAATCAGCTGCAGTAGTGAAAACAAGACCAAGTATTAAAAAAAGTGAGGGGGCATTAAACTTTACAGACCTATACCAGCACCAATCTATCAGTCTCCAGCTATAGAAACCGCTACAGAATGCCTCCTGCTATCTGAATGCTAAACTTTTTAACTGTTCCCTAAAACTGTATTGCTATTTTAAATACCATACTTCTTGAAAATGATACATTTAAAAAATACACATTTTTCTTCAAAAAATATTCTGCACCTTAAATTTGAGTAAAAGAAAAGTAAAAAGTTGTCATCAAGATTATATTCTTGCAAGTGTGCTATATTTTATGTATTATTTTTCTCCTAAACTGAGAGTTGGAAAATTAGGGTGCCTCTTAAAAACTAGGATGTCATAACTGATGTAATAAGCTAGTACAAAAAGAAGTTCATAGGTAGGTTTTATTGAGATTCATATGTGGAGAAATTTAAAATTATTTAGACATTCCTGATCACAAAGATATACAAGAGTCATATTAATTTCTCTCTTTACTAAATATACATAAAACATTATCCCTCTCTCAACCTAAAACACAAGCAGACAGGTTTTACAAAGGAAATATTGGCCCTGAGCAACTGTTGTGCTAGCCTATGAGCTTCAACAGCTGCCACAGCACATCTGTGCACATAAGCAGTGGTTCCAATAAATTGGATACCATTAAATTGTGCCTCAACTAAGCTCCTCTCAAACTTATTCTCAGAGGAATAGTTCACACTGATCTAAAGACCTTTTCCATGCATAGAGGGGCACAGAAAATTCCTAAAGATTTGCTCCATGCCCAGGCAAAAAAGGATGTTTCACGCTAAAGAGAGTTATCTCTGGCCTGAATTCATTCTAGTAAATTTTCTTTACATTAGCAAGCATTTTGATGCAGTAATAAATGTCACTCCAAAGATAGTTCTGTTCTTGCTCTGCAATTCAGAGTTAAAAAGATATAGGAGTTGTTTGTAGTCTCAGCCTGTCATGCATTGTTTCCCTGAATACAAAATTGGTGATGGGATAGGGATGAACCAGACAGATTCACCAGATATTCCTCCCTTCTTTCAGAAGGCGACACATTACTAAAGTACAGTTGTATAATCATTTCATTATCTGAAAGGAAAGATTCTTCTTTCCCCCTGAAGCATCTATTAGCACACTCCACTTCCTAAAGTTGTGAGGCTTAGAGAGCATTATTTCTTTAGTTTAAAAGCTTTTAAACTGCTCTCTGATGTTTCTTACTAAAGAAGACCTATGCAAGGATACTTTATTTTTATTGTTTTACATTTAAGGCTTATTTGGAGGTATATGCTCTTATAGGCTAGGGAAAGAAATTACACATAAATCAGTGTAAGTGATTGGAAAACAGTTCAAATCTGTAACGCAAAAGAAGTTCAGTGCACATAAATCACTTTACAAATGGTCAAAACCAGTTTAAGATAAACTTGAATGGATGTAGTATAAGACTTAACTGATTTAAGTTGAATCTGGAAGGGATCTGGGACAGAAGTTCAATAAATCAATTTAAGTTAACTCACAGTCCCCAGAATCCCAGGATATTTTGTATCTCTCCCACAAATACCCCTTTGCAGGATGGGCAGGCTAGCCTTGGCCCAAGCTGTCTGCTCCAGCCGAGCAGGGAGTTGTGGTCTAGCCACCCTGGCTTCTGGCCTGGGCCACTGGAGGCATGTGGCTGCATTTCCAGAGTCAGAAGTAAAAGTGTGTTTACTTGCTTATTGGTTCAATCTACACAGCTTAGACTAACCTGAGAAGATTTAATCAATTCAGCCTCGGGCTTTTTGGATGTCTGTGTTAAGCTATAGTGCTTGTAGAGAAAAAGGCAGAAAGGTTTTGTGTTAATTTTAGGATTTTAAAATTGAGCCTTCATGAGCATTTATTGCCATTTACTTTAGGCAGTGTTCAATAATTGTTTTTATTTTATTGTGTTACACTAGCAACTACAGATCCCAGTTTATATTAGCTTCTCAGCATTATGCAAACATGTAATTTATACAACTAAAAGCAGGTAGAAAAGCAGAAGCCCAGAAAGGTGAAGTGACTTGCCTACGGTTTCATGTGAAGTCAAATCAACACCTAATTTAGAAAGGGAGTGCGGGTCTATAATTCCCAGTCCAGCACCAGACTCACAGGACTGCAGACTCTGTTCCTCTTGCTTTAGTAGAGCATTTAAGTTAATGTTTGCAGTTTATACAACTTACACATCCTCAGCGTATCTAGAGGATATATTCATTTAAAATAAAAATGCTATGTTCACCTGAGTAGGGTTCCTCTCTGTTTTTGTAGGTCACTTTGAACAATTTCTCTCATGTGATCACTGTCAAGCCAGGTGAAAGTAATGTAACTGCTTGTTTTTGTTTATGATGCTTTTTCCCCAAAGGAACTAGACCGTGAGGGCATATGAGTGGCTCTTTGAAACAGAAGTGCAAGTTAAGGGCACATCACAGGAGCAGGGCTATGTGTTAGACATAAAAAGCCTCAAAAACAATCTAAACGGTTTTGCAGCATAACAGAGATACCAAAGTTATCCTTAAACTACCTAACCTGAGCATCAGAAGGATCACAAAGTTTATCCTGAGCCAAGAAATCCTGTTTCTGAGACTCAAGTGTAGCTACACCACTCAGTTATACCATATTAGTCTATACCTTTTTTAAAGAAATTCTTGTGCATCCCTTTCTCCCTTCTTTTTTGTCTCACTATTGAAGGCAGCAGAAAATCCACACAAATGTGGACATCCAAATGAAACATCCCAGGTGGACACCATATGCATATACATTGAAAGAGACAGGTCTTGCCTTGTGTTTGCAGCTCAGTGGTTTGGGGAGCCTGGAACAGTATAATGGAAGAAATTTGAGGAACTGCCATGGAATTGGTCATTCCCTACTGGAAAAATTTCTGAGAAGAAATTAAAGTGAGAATTAATGGTGTTACACTTAGCTTTAACTCCCTTCTGTAGCTAATAGTTAGTTGCAGGGGAAGGAACTAGCTGTAGCATAGCTCCTGTCCTGGCTGCACGGAGGTGGGTGACCTCCAGTTTTCGTCCTTGTAAGAATATTCAGTTAGGTTGCCAATTCTCCATGGAGTCAGTAGTGCAAGGCTGTAGACCTTGCCTGTAGACCAACATGGCTAAAACCTGTATCCCTGAAACATGTAAGATACCACAGTTAGCCAGTTTGAAATACAAACTTCATAATTTTTACAAAAAAGAAGCAAAAATCCAACCCCCAGAGAATTCCACCCCTGCCCCAGCCTTTTGTTTGAGCTGAATTTGCATACCTGGAAAACAACTTCTACACAAGAAAACTGCCTCAGCCAGGAGAAACATTCCATTGACATCAACCCGCTCTCCCATGCAATAGAAAACATCGTACCAAGAAGAAAGAAAAATTCAACACCCTCCTTGCCATCAGATACCTTGAAGGTAAACAAACTGCTCCAACTTTTATTTGAGGCTAATTTGCATAAAATGAACGTTTCCACCAAGAGGAACGTATAACATCTTTCTATTCTCTTGTGCAATATGAAGTTTCATTTCTACCTGGGAGAAACGTTACAATCTGTGCATTCTCCTTTGCCTGAGGAAGGGCATGTGAGCCTGAAAGCTTGCAAATAGAGAATTTTTTTGCAACTATTTAGTTGGTCTAATAAAAGATATTGTCTCTATCAAGGGTTCTAGAGTCTATAATGTCCAAACTCCTGCTCCCTCACCAAAAACCTTAGCTTGAATACTCTTGCTCATGAGAGAAATATTTCTTGAATTTCTGCAAACATGGTTTATCACTACTAGGTATTTGCCAAACAGTTCAGATGAATAATTTTCAAATGATAATTTTTTTCCACAAACTGATTGTTTCAGACCTTTATTTTATAATATTTACTCTCTATTATTTGAGTGTATGCATGAGGTAATATAACTATCCCCTGATAAGATGGCAAATGTTTATTCAAGAGAATGACATGTAGTGTACCGTGCTTCTGCTATACATTTGTGATACTTTTAGGATTTGCTAAGGAAATAAAGAAACCTGATAAATAAAGAAATATGATGCAACCTGAGTATACTCTGGGGTCATACTGCTTCTCTTGTAGATTAAGTGCATCCTTGCTGACAATAATACCATCAATGGTTTGGGTCAAGCACAAGAAGTGGTACAAATGCAAAGGAATAATATTTCTTGACATTGATCAGCCCATCCAGTTCATGCCTCCCCTCTCATTTTCCTTTGCAGTACACACGGCATAAATCAACTGCTCCTGAGACT